GAAACTGATGACCTGACAAATAGCACTTTATTTACCAAGCCAAGCATTTAATGATTTTGGAAACTATGTAGAAGATTCATATTTTGATTTTGATAAAAATGTTATCACAGCTAGGCTATTTTGCAATTCAGATTTCTAAGGAATTATCTCCTAGTTATCTGTATGAGACCGCTGACACAGTGTTATACATTCGAGACAAGAATGCAAGCAGAGGTGAGCTGACACACTGGCCACAAATTTTCAGGTTCATTTTCACTGAATGAGAGGAGAGGGATGCCAGGCTGAGAAAGCAAAAAACCTCTCATGTTGCAGTAGATAGGCCAGCTTGAGGACAGTTTGATATGTTGTAAAAATTTAGTGACAAACATTTTTTTGTTAGCTTCCCTGCTGTGATTATGAGGTTATTAAAAACAGGTATCATTAATTACAGATTTATTATCTTGCATGATCCTCCTTACAAGTTACTAGCACTTAAGTGCAAATTAAGTAATTTTTCTAATGACAAAAACATCATGACTGACAACAGCAAGTTTTCTCCAAAGTACATTTATTTGGGTAAATGACCAGAATAGCTGCTAGGATAACTCTTCCTTTGTTTCAAATCCTTGACTTGTGTTTGCCTGCTACAGGCTAGTGGCAACACATCACATATCTAAGGACATTTTTATCCCCTTGACAGAGCCATATCTTAGATGTAACTGGGTAGAGTATTTGTACCAAAGCTATATTTAAAAGTGCTGACTTGGGAATTGCTGACTGTGCAGTGGCTGAGAGTTCAGCACAAGTGAAGCTGTTAAGTATTTACCTTATTTCTCAACTGGATTTTGCAGCCCAGGCTGAGTTCTGCATTGCTACACCTGAGCTGTTTCCATAGTTGAAGATAGCTCAGTAAGGTCTCCTCAGCCTGCAGCCATAGTAAAGTAACTGGAAAAAATAGGTTCTTGAATTAGAACTCCCTTATCTAAGGATGATTTTCATGCAGTTTACAGACAGCAATGTCTCTTCCTGTTATTGAGATGCTGTATTAAAACCTTCGCTAATCTGCATGGACAGACCAACTTTTCCAAAGGAGGACTTTCTTTTCACCAAGTTAATAATGAAAAACAGAGTTTGAAAAGTCCTCTCTAATTCCTAATGATACTTAATGAGACCTAAAAATATTTTAAGTAGTACTGCCATCATTCCATATTATTAAAAATTTAGCACGCAGACTGCCACCTGGTCTCACTCCTAGAGAATTTCTGCAGCAGAAACCACAGAGGCAGACTGAAAGAGATATGATCTCTCTACTGAGTATGGACACACACAACTCAAAAAAAACCCCAAAACTATTAACATTTCTCCTGTATGTATCTCAGATTTCATTCAATATTTCTGCTAAATAAAGTGTATGACATCATGAGGTGCAAGGATGGAGTATGGTACAAAATGCCCAAGCTACCAAGCATGCAAGATAAGTCTGTAAGGGCCTTCAACAGCACAGGCCCAAAGTCAGCATGGTGCTCCACCAAAACTTCTGCTACCAGTGTTCTTGACACTAGATAACTGATCAAAACCACACTAACTTCACGAAGATACTTGACAATGCCTACTTTAGCATTAGAATTACACAGTGCCTTAAGCCTTAGCAATTTATTAAAAGTTTACACCTTTTCCAAGATGATTTGTTGCTATACTTCACAAAATTTATTTCCTTCCTTAAGATCAAAAGGGCAATACTAATGCATGCCTTATGAACTCATAAAATTTTATGGTTATTTTTCAAGGTTAAATATGCCATGTGATTTCTTTTTTTAATAGGGCAGTCTAAAAATTAAAATTACTAGTACAAATGTCTAGTTTAAGGAATGAGTATACTGTTCTGAAATAGCCCAACAGAAAGATTAGTAAGGTTGATTGCTAAATCTATTAATTTATGAAATTAATTTTATGAGATTAATTTATGACATTTAAAATCCAAATTTATATTTTACTTAGCAGAAAAAATTGTCTCTAAGAGTCCAATATTTCAGAATATTCCTATCAAGTCTTAACTGTTAGTTTAAAAGCAGAGCTACTGAGACAGAGATGCTAACACACTCTGCCAACCTCATCCTATCAATCTACCACAGAAACAAAGAACAGCCTTAACTTGAACTCAGACACACATGCAGTCTTTTTTTTACTCTTAGACAGTTTTAATTAGAAGCAATTGTTTTAACTGTCAGCACAAATCAATAATGTAACTGTTGTTCTTCCTATATAAACCTAATTTCTTACAAACAGACATAAAACTGACACAACATAGGATTTCAGAAGTGGAAGTAACAAACTTCATGACTACTTTTATTTCCTTTCTGTTCAGTTTTTCTCCCTTATATCAAACAATCCTTTACCATTTGGTGCATGGAGTTCTCATCCTCTACTATTCCTTACCAGTTCAAGAATGAGATTCAGGAAATGAAAAATAATATGGAGAACTACAGAGCAGTCTGGTTTTTTCCCCAGTAGGTCAGAGAATGATGACTGACAAGGTGACTATTCCCAACCTGTTAGGAGTTTACTGGCAGGGCAGTTACAACATGCAACTCTACAGCTTGAAAGGCCAGTCAGAATGACCTTTCCTCTCAATACAGGAAAGCAGAATTTTCAACCATTGAGCACAGTCTCACTTCTGCTGCCAAGACGTAGTAGTGCCCCAGACAGTGGGGAGACTTGATCAGAAGGTCCTACCACCTAAGGGAAGAAGACTGACAGATGTAATTTTATGTTCAAAGTGCTGCCTCACGCTCTGAAATGAACTCTACACATGACACAGTACAGCAATTTGAAACAGTATTCCCAAAGTCAGCATGCCTCAGTGATACAAAAACTGGGAAATTCAGGAAAAAAGGTATGCAAATTAGACATTTGTTTTAAATGAATGATCTCTGTAATCATACATAACATTCAAGCAATAAATTTGTATGAACTGAAGGGGCAGGATGACATCCACACACACTTATGCATAGTGTTAACTACCTTATATAACTGTGAGTGACATGGTTGATTTCATTTGGGCCATTTGTAGTATAAGATAGCAGCCAACATGATTAGAGATACGGCTTACAAGCCAGGCCAATTAGATAACTACTACATTTATAGCTTAAAATAAAATCACATTTTGGAATCTGCTTATCTATATAGCCAAATGTTCTTCCCAATAAAATGCCAAGAAAAAGATCATAGTGGTATACGTAAAACTAAGACAGAAGGAATTATACTGCATTTGTACTGTCAACTCGTTGACCTTGTTAGATCTTAAAAAGATGATGGATGCCTTCATGAATGTCCTACAACTTCCTTGGTTATTCTCTGGGCCTCTGATACACACCATATTTAACTACACACAGAACATATTTCCAGATCAAGACCTAAAAATGTCCTTTTTAGGATCTGTTTTTCATACTGATCTTAATGGACTTGCTATGCCTAAGTAAAAAGCCTATGTTCAGCAGACAGCACACTTCCAAAGCCTGCTATTTTAACTAGCAAAAAGTCTATCCTTTTTTTTAAATACTAATTACAATTGAAAGCTTTGTAGTTGAGCCCCATTACTACAGAGGCAGATCATGAACTCCTTTGGACAATTTATGGGGTAGGGGTATGGCAGTCTTCCCATTGCAGTAAGTATGTTTATGGTGATTAATCAAGTAGACATCTGAAAATCGAGGATAATTTGGCATTTTCTTCCTTTACTGAATGACAACTCATAATATTGTCCTACACGGCCTGCTAATTTTTTAGATTAGCAGAGCCAAAAAAATATCAACAAAGAAAACAAAGCTACACAAGTAGTCATGCCGATGTTCGAGTCAGACTCTGGTCCACTCTGTGCAACTATGCTAGAAAGATGCTATTCTATTTTATGCCACCTCTTAGATTACTGTTCATAATGCATGTTACCTCAAGTCTTCTTTAGCCTGAATTTTAAGGACAGCTGAGAATTATGATCCACTCCACTTCACCTTGCAGACTCCAGAGTTGTATCTTGATACCTGACCCTTATACACTGTGCCTGATATAGCTCTGGCACTCTTTCAATACTAGTTCAACTGTGAAATCAAGAAGGTGCTTCCCCTTACACAGACTAGACAGGTAACATGATGTTAGTCAACAATCCTCTGTCATCCCTGTATATTTCCCAAATAGTGATTCATAATCAAGATAGCACAGGTCGAAAAGTCAATTGCCCATTTCAAATAGGTCCATGCTGCTGAGAACTGTCATTTGTCAGAGCAGACTCTCAGTTCAATTACTTATAGCAAAATCATTGTATTATGAAATTCTTGCACCAGGTGGTGACTAATGAAGAGTTCAAACATGGGTAATAGAAGAGAGCACATAATTTTGGTAAACATAAACAGAGTCCTTACAGATAATATAATTAATCTGACTCAGCATAATTCCACTGGTTTTTAACTATTGTAACTCATTGCTGTTCAAACCTGTATAATACAAACAGCAGTCTGACAAACTGTCATTTAATATTTCTATCAATTCTCATTCATTGTTTCATTTTCAAAAACGGAGCAGATATTCCTTTACATAACATGAAAATACAGGGTAATTTAAATTTTGAATTAGTTGTATAATGCTGTTGCTAAGCACTTCATTAAAAAACGAAACAAGTTGGTAAATAGATTACTGCAAAAGGCTGGGCTCAAAGAAATTCCATTTTTAATTTGGCTTTTTGCAATCTTATATTTATCCAGGAAATTATTTAAACCTCTGATTTGTTTTCCCTTCTACAGCATTTTGCTATTAATTTCTATTTTGATATTAAGCTCTTATGATAGCTAATGTAAGACTGTAATCTTACATGTCATGTAAGTGATATGATATACAAGTCATGCTGTGATATGTAAACAGACTACTGTATTCTTAAAAATATAAACCTATACCTTCTATATATAATTCTATACCTTCTATAACATTACACTTATACCAAAGACTATGTAAAGGATTATTTGGTGATTTACCTGGTCTTGAGGAAGGAACTCTTGCTATCTCTAGGGAGCAAGGTTTTTTGGTCACTGCTATGTCTATTGAATCACAAAGACTGTTGTCATTTTCTGACGTAACTGCATCCAGAGGTACAGAGGGTATTGCTTCCAATGCATAACCTCTCTTCTTTGAATAAGATTCCTGAAATGCAAAAATTGAAGTAGGTAAGAGAGATATTTCTTAGATGACACAGGAAAAGAACCAGGCTCAATAACTCTGGTTAGCAGGGTTTAAAATTCAGCAAATTAAATACCACATTCTGCTGAAATCCAAATTGTAACAGACTGGAAGAATTACTTGCATGCTAGATGATAACACTTCTTGTTTCTTTAATTTTTGTGTGCAATGTAGTTCTTGTTTAGCTACAGAAAATTCTTTATTCATCAAACTTTGTATTTAGCAAAAGCTCTAACATAACTGGTCTTGCCATACCTGCTTTGCTAGGTTCTAATTCAGTAGCTATCTCTTATTCAGTTTTTGTAATTATATCTCATGAAACTGACAATTAATCACTGCAATTAGTTTCTCTTTGGGGATGGTTTTACAATATGTTTTTATTATATATAAGAAAGCTAAAGATACGCCATCTATATTTTGATGGCAGAATCCCAGGCTGTGAATGAAGATGTGTTACTGCTCTGTATTTGAGTGAACAGCAATAATGGTGCAAGGTCCCTTAAAAATTATACATATAATGAATTCCCATCATTAGCAAATGTTGAGGGAGGGAAAAAAGAAATTAGTCAGAAATTTGCTGGTACACTAAAATGTCCAATCAAGTGCACTGTCTCTGCTTTAGAACGTGAATAAGAAGATACCATACAGTTTCGCCAGAGTTTCTGGATTTGTGGTTTGTTTTTTTTTTTAATCATGGCAGGAAGCAATTCTATGGGCAAAGCCATATTTCCACATCTTTCTTACATTGGATGTATGGATGCCTGGGAAAGTCAAGCACTGCACATAAATCAAATATGATATAATAAAACACCAAGGGGCAGAAAGCACCCTGACAGTTAGATATTATCATAGCACTACTCAGAAAATTACTGAAGATAGTGATGACTAGAATAGGATGTGCAATAACAATTTCTTCAACAAGAAGAACTCATATTTCCTAAGGTAAACTATGGCTGTAGATAACAGTCCCTTTTTTAGGTAACTGATTTATACTGTTAGTGGATCATTACATTACTGAACTTTTGGCAGTTTTTCCTTTTGGCAGGTTTTCCTGATCACTGTGTTGTGACCTGATTTTTATGAGAGTTCATAATCTGGTAATAATTCAAGGCCTCTCGAAGGATAGGGTTGAGATGGCAGCAACAGGAGCTCCACTTCAAAATTCTACTTGATTGCTTCAGTAGAACCAAATTTTAAATCCTATGTTAGACCACCACTGAATAAAGAACTTGAAAATGAATACTGGAAAGAGTTAACAGGGAAAAAAAATCATACAAAATAAACAGAATACTAACAAGCATTTGTAATAAATATTAGTATGTACTAGCAAACAATACAAGATTAGTGATCAGTGTCCAAAAAACATGCCTAAAAGAGGAATGTGATTGTGCCTCTACCTCTTTTATCCTTTCCTGTTTACGTCTAGTCAGAGTATAAGCTTTCTGCATTAGCAATTTTACTGATATATACTAATAGTAACTAGTTTCAGCTATTGGACTCTAAAGACATAACAAGGAACTGGAAAACTTTGTAAGCAGACTTACTGCAGTTCTAAATAAAACTTTTTAAACTTAAGCTGTCTTATTCCTTAAATTAATAGAAAATTATTCCTGAAGCCCACATCCTGTAAAAAAAAAAAAAGCTGTTTTTTTTTAAATCCTGCAAATAACACTTGTGTAAAATGAAGCATGGGTATTAGGAAGAGTACAACTGAAATCAAGAAGTTTACAAATACACAGTTTTATTACTGGAATAAATGTGCATGAGTTAAAACCTTAGGTTTAAATTAGAGAAAATCTTAAAAACCTTGTAATTCATGAATAACAGCACTGTTAACTCTGTATTATATTCCTGCCTTTTTATTATAATAAATATAGAAAATACTTCTCCCTACACTGCACTGTGTAATGTGGAGGCATCAAAGCATCTGAAGTACAACTGCAGGACAAGACAAGGATTCCTTCCTACCTTGTCCATCTAAGTCTACTGTAAGAAGACAGAGGCAAAAATTTATTTACCAAAGCAATTATTAAAACAGCAGACTTCAACTTAATCATTGTACATGCAAGTTTCTCTAAGAATAAGTCAGAATGCCAAAACCCTAGTAATAGTAAATCTGCCTAGAGAAGCCCATGAAGAAATACTGCAGCCTTAAAATTGTCACCAAGCACCGGTGAAACCCTGCTCAGCTCCTGAATTCAGCTACATTAAAAAAACATTAAAAATTGATATATGAAACGTAAGAAGAGGCATTTGATCATACTTTATGTCTATGTCACCCATATTCTGTCATGAAGGCAGTCAACAATGCTGGCCTAGTGAACAGTGAAACCAGCACAAGACCAGGACAAGCATGTAGTAGCACTTCTCCTCCAAACCTTTGAGGGTCCCACACTTCATAATCAAAAGCTGATTACTTTGTTTTGCATGTCCATGAATTCAACTTTCTGAAATAAGCTTCTCAAGTTGCCTTTAGAGCACGTCACTTTTTACAGTTTGCATGCACCCCATTTTGTTTTTAACTATCTCATCATGTTTGGATCCCTTATACTTGAGAAGGCAACGAATGGTTGTTCTTTATTTATCCACTGCTTGTGATTTCACAGACCTCTATCACACTTCCCTTGTCCTCTCCTTCAGGGAATGAGAAATTCTAAGATACTCACCCAGCTGTTCCAGGCTTTTGACCATCCCTGTCACCCCTCATCCTCTCAGTCTTCAGTGATGTGACAGGGATCAGATTTTCACATGGCATTCAAGATGAGGGCTCACCAAGTATTCATACTGACATAATGATGTTCCCTCTTTTGTACTCTATTCCTTTCCTAATTGCTCTTAACATTCAATTTGATTTTGTGAATGTTATTCAACATTTTGCAATTAACACTGCAAGAATATAAATGTCAGAGAACAATAAATAAAAATGATGGGGTTACTGAGAAAATGGTTGGAATGTAACTTACTGAAAAGCAAATTCTTCCTAAATCTCTCCCTAATAAAGCAAATACGATAACAGTATGCCAAGCAGTACTTAAGTAAGTTAGAGTCAAAAAAGAATTATTAGTACTTTAAAAAGTCTGGAATTCTATCAACTGATTAAATGAAGATGATAAGCCTTAATTAAAAAGTGTGTATGTAGCAAAAAAAGACAAACCTCTCATTGCTGGAGAAAAGCAATGTAAAGTCTTCTGGTTGTGCAATGTGTTCTCCATTTTACAGGTACTGAGCATATTCTAGAAATTTTTAAGCTCTAAACTAATTAAAGTTAGATGACATTTCAAAATTTTCTTCAAGAATCGGGCATCAAGCAATGTGATTCTGGTTTTTTTCTAAGACTAAAAGTTCTTCAGCATTCTTCTCAATAGTATCAGTTCTGTTGTCTCACCTCACCTACTGCAATGAGCAGTAACTCTACAGTAATCCTACATGTCCTAGATATTTTAATCTGCATAATAAAACCTTCTAAAGAAATATTCTCCCATTATAGTTGAATAATCTTTAGTCCTGAAATCAAAATAAACTGAGTTTATTTTTTTTTAATTAGAGATTATTCAATTGCAAATTTCTGTAAACTATTCAAAAAAGTTGAAGATGACACATGTAACTGACCACCACTATCAAGTCAGAATTAGTTCTTACTTGAAATTACCACTTCATAAAAGTAATGTGCTGGGCTGCCACTACATTAAAATAAGTATTTTTGTGGAAATGATAAAAATACATACACAATAGAAGTGACAGAAAAAGAGAAGCATGAGAGTGGGTGAGTCACTGGGAAAGCATTAGAGAACAGTTGCCTGTACTGATAAAATATAAATCAGATTTTTGCCTTGTAGAAAGAAACAGCAATGTGAGACTGAAGTTGCAGAGCACATGCTAGGGACACACCATGGCCCTTACTCAGAGGCCTCCAGCCAGCTGGGTCTCTTCTGAGCACATGCTTGATGGTATAATACCTATCATATGTAATCTGAAACCTAAACAGGACTAGAAAATAGAAAGGGGACAGGGAGAGAAGGATGTGATTGTTGATCAGTGGGAATGAATTTGCTTCTAAAACACCTATATGGCAATTTCAAGTGGTTATATACAAGTGTGAAAAAATATTCCATAACACGAGTAAATCTTCAAATACTACATGATGTTGAGTTAAGCATTTTTTCCACATTTCTGCCAAGCTTCTAGCTGCTCTTGCTTCTGTTGTCTAGATACTCTTGCATTCCCTATCAGAATCAATCCAAATTATGTATGCTCAAGGACTAAATATATATATATATTTTATATATACATATATAAAATTCATATATATAAACAGTATATACAAATTTGTGTTTGTACGACCCAAGAATAAAATGATAGAGGCTCAGTAGGCATCTAGTCTGAACTGACATTCTGACAAGAAGACAGAACTTGTATTTAACTGAAAATTTTTCATACCATCCACCTCCTTTACTACAGAAATCAGGTCAGTTGAAGTTTATTACTTCCCTGGAACGTGGGACAACACATCAGAGTCAGACATGACTGCCAGCTGAGCAACAGCAAAAAAACTGTTCTTTAAAGATTAACTGTTACATCTTACTCGTCACATTCATCACAGTGATAATTCATGTAGGTATGTTGTGTCTCACCAGGCAATTATTAACTTATTTATAACTTAGAAATCTAAATTTATGAACAGTTGTCTTGACCTCTTGCAGTCTGGGGTACTCACAGTTGAAGGCCACACCGTATCCTGTTATTTGAAAATTTACTAGATCTGGATTTGCTTAAGTCTCTCTTTTGATATATGACTTCCTCGTCATTAAACACTAACTATCCTCACAATTTATGTAAGACACCTAATAAGAATCACAAAGGTTAGAAGAAATAGTTATTTTAGCCCTAACGCACTTTTTTAGAAAGTATGGGGAGCAAGAATGCCCCTATGCATATTTATACTTGAAAATAGAAGCTAAGGACAC